GAAAGAGTGCTCATGGTGAGATTGTGCTAACAAAAGCTTGTGATCGTCTTAAGTCGTGCACCTTTTTATTTTCTATTTATTATTTTTTGGCTCACTTTTATTTTTTCGTTTATTTTGGGTCAAAGAATAGATGCCCCATAATGATTAATTTTGTAATGATTGCCAATGAGTCAAGGTATTTCTAGGTCTTCATTCTTCATTCCGCCGTCTTGTGGTGACTTCTGTTTTTCTTCTTTCTTTGGTAGGCCCCCGGTCATCTCTTAACAAGATTTCCAATGCAACTCTGCATTTGCTTGGACCATCATAAGGAGATTCTTCAACGCTTTGGTCATGTTGCCCTCTCTTTTTTTATTTCTTTTATCAGTTCATAATTTTCCAATTGGAAAAGTCAATCACGTTATTGAAATGATTATTTGCTAGACTTCAGTTCCTCTCCTATATACCAAATTACCAGTAGTCACCCAATCACCCCAAATTGAAGCAACGAAAATAAAATGATACCTCTACTCAACAAGAAAGCATGATTTAAACTTGAGATCTTTGGTCTCTTTGATAAAAATAAAATAATTTTTTTTTTAAAAACCTTGAGATATTTTGTTCCATTAGAAAAACTTGAGGTCCTTTGTAACATTGAGAATTCTTTTTTCCTTTCCTTATAAGGGCAAAATGGTGATTTTCATTGGGACCTAACTGCTTTTCCAGAAGCTCAAAAATTTTGATTAACAAAAAAAAACTAAAAACAAAAAAAACAAAAAAAGGAAAATAAAATTTAAAAGAGGTAAAAATGGCGTGTGGAGTATAACTCGGTTGAGCTCTTCCATCACCACCCATGTGGATAGAGATTCGAAACCCCACTAACTAATGAATATTTGTGTATACCCACTCCCCTAATCGCTTATCCTGTTTTTTTTTTTTTTTTTTATAAAAAAAAAAAAAACAAAGGAAAAATGAAAAAATGAAGGAAAAAAAAAGAAGAAAAAAAAAAAACAGACAACTCAACAAAACCCACCCAAAAAACAGGCGTTCTTTTAGCTGGCTTGGGAAAAATGATTCCCGGATTAGGAAATACCAACCCTTACTTATTAAGCAAGAAATGTAAACTCTCCTGGTAGTCCTACTCGAATTAGGAAATACTAAACCTAAACTCTAAGCACCGCCAAAGCTTGTGTATAAATAGAGAATTGGCCATTTGCAAAAATCACAATAAACGCATTCTCTACCTTTTCATTCATCACTGTGAGAAAATATTGCTTTTGAATCAAGTTAGGTTAAATATCAACAGTTGCGCAAAAATGGGTGCACTCAGTGTCCATTCTACTAAGAAGGAATTGGACTTTCTTCAACTGAGGCAGCAACTCAAACAATGCATCAGAAACAATCATGCCAAGGAGGTGGTGTATGTTTGTGACGGCTCGATTGATAAGAAGAACAAGTTGCCTTGTGACAACTTCGGATCCTTCTTTGGCCCCTCGCAGCATTCCATTGCACAAAGACTGATCGAAGAAAGCAAATCTTTAATGCCGGAGTTAAAGGTTTTGGCATCCAGGGTTCTTAAAAATTCCCAAGACAAGGGTAAAAAGAGCCTCAAGATTCCTGCCTCGGCCACAACAAAATCTCGTTCGACGGATTTGAAACTCAAGTGTAAAAGCATCAAAGAGTCCCGGGATTACTCGTTTTTGTTCTCAGACAATGCCGAAGTTGCGAAAGCTTCAAAAGAAGAGCCTGCACTTGGTAAAGATTCTGCCTCAGAGCCGAGTGAAGAAAGAGATTTGAAGACTGTAAGAAAGCAAAATCTGGAAGAGAAAGAGAGACTAGTTCATGGGAAGAGACATCAGATGCCAAAGAAGCATTCTTGTGTGATGAAGGCGAAAGAGAGACGTCGTAAGCGCTTCAGGGAGAAGGAGGAGGAGGATGATGATTTTGTGATGGTGTCCACCTTTGATGACATTCTAAGAGAAGAGAGGAGAAGTGGAAAAATTGCCAGAAAGGAGGATGAAAAAGAGCGGCTACTGATTCTGCAAGAAGAGAAGCAAGCTAGGTTGAGAAAAGCAAAGAAGCTGAGAGCATCCAAAATCTGACGTTGAATTTGGTTAATATTTTTCTGGTTTAATTGTTTGTTATGTAATTAAATTGTCTAGTTGATAAATAAAAGTACCTTTTTTTTTTCCACATGTGAATTTGTGTTTTTGAAATAAATAAGATGTATTTTATGAATTTCAAATACTTTTAAAAAAAATTAAAAAAGAAATTGAATTAATGTGGCTGGCATATGTAGTTAGACATGAGCTATACATATGATAAGTGAGAGAGCCCCGTGGGTTTATACTTATCTATTCAATATAATGTCTACAATTCTCTTTAGGGAACCTCGACGATACGGGGAAAATTTTATTAATCATCAATATGGAAATGGGGGACTTAAAGCCTACAATTCTTAGAGAGTGTAAACTTGCAGTTTCTAATTTTTTTTTAATTTTATATTAGTATATAAATTAAAATTTCTTAAAAGAAAAAAATAAATAAATAAATATATATATATTTTCCATACATGACTTCAAGCTTTATACATAGAAAACCAACGAGTCCCACATGCCATGTCAGCATAATTCATCACTCTCTTTAGCTGTTTATTTTGTCTAGTTAATATAAATGTTTCTGCCACTTATTTTGCACATGGCACTATACCAAATTACCAATCACCCATTCAACCATTCTTTTTCCTTTTCCTATTAAGGACAAAATGGAGAATTTCATTGGGACCTCCTAAAATTCTCCATTTTGCCCCTACAAAGTTTGATTACAAAAACTTGAAAAAATGGAAACCCGAAAAAAGAGGCGTAGCTGGCTTGCAAATATATATATATATATATCTCCTAGTCCTACTCGGATTTGGAAACACTAACCGACAAAGCTCATGTATAAATAGAGAATTGGCCCCTTTGCATATCACAGTAAACACACTCTCTTCCTTTCATCATCATCATCACTGTGAGAAAATCAAAACAGTGATTTTGAAACCAAGTTAGGGTTTGAATATTGTAGAGATGGGGGCGCGATTGATCTTCCATTCTTCTACGAAGAAGGAATTGGACTTTCTTCAACTAAGGCAGCAACTCAAACAACGCATCAGAAACAATCATGCCAAGGAGGTGGCGGTGTCTGTTCGTGACGGCTCAACTCATGAGAAGAACAAGATGCCTTGTGACAACTTCGGATCGTTCTTTGGCCCCTCGCAACATGCCATTGCGCAGAGAGTGATTCAAGAAAGCAAAGCTTTAATGCCGGAGTTAAAGGTTTTGGCATCTAGGGTTTTCAGAAATTCCCAAGACCAGGGTAAAAAGAGCCTCAAGATTCCTGTCGATTTGAAACTCAAGTGTAAAAGCATAAAAGAGTCCCGGGATTACTCCTTTTTGTTCTCAGACTCAGACGATGCCGAAATTCCGAAATCTTCAAAAGGAGAACCTGCACTTGGTAAAGATTCTGCCCCAAAGCCAAATGAAGAAAGAGATCAGGGTTTCAGCGGGATACGAAGAGGTTCTGGGAGAGATTTGAAGACTGCAAGAAACCAAAATCCGGAAGAGAAAGAGAGGCCAAAGAAGCCTTCTTGTGTGATGAAGGAGAAGGAGAGACATCGTAAGCGCTTTAGGGCGGAGGAGGATGAGGATGAGGATAGTGTGATGGTGTCCACCTTTGATGACATTCTAAGAGAAGAGAGGCAAAGTGAAAGAATTGGCAGGAAGGAGGATGAAAAAGAGCGGCTATTGATTCAGCAAGAAGAGAAGCAAGCTAGGTTGAGAAAAGCGAAGAAGCTGAGAGCATCCAAAAACTGATGTTGCATTTTTGGTGCTTTGATTGTCAATGTAATTAAATTGTCTGGTTGATGAATAAAAGAGTATTCAATTTTATTTTTAAAATTAATTGGATGAATTACAAATACTTAACCCAAAACAAAAAAAGAGCCTTGAAGACTGGATATATAGAGTTGGGTTTGGTAACCACCCCTACATATGTAGTTTAATTAGCATAAAACCCAGATCATGGTGATTAGGAGGCTCCTTATTCATTTAATCTGGTAATTAGGAGGCTTGCCAACTATTTTGGCTATGTCTACAGTCAAATAATTTTGAAGAAAATGAAGGGCTCTATAACTTTTCTTTTTCGTCAATTATTTCACTTCTTACTGCACAAATTAATGATTTTTCTGTTCATTAGACATGCCGTAAAGCCTACAATTCACATAGATTTCTATTTAAGTTGCAGTTTTTTTTTTCAAGGACAACGATCCAACCTTGAATTGAATGCCCGATTATTATTCACATATACTTTTAATTACTGTTTCACCCCTTAAAAAGATAGTTCCGAATTCCATCTTGCTCTTCAAAATTCAATTTAACTCTTTTTTTTCTTTCATAAACTCACTTTTTTGCATCTCACGCTCACTATATCGTCACGTTGTCCCTCGCTATAAACTCAATTTTGTAAGACCTCTTTGATTTTTTTCTCTTCAGAATTGAATAAAATAGCCCTAGCCTTAAATTTTATATTTTTTTAACATAAAAGTTTATATTGATATAATTTATTTATAAAATTGTTGACTTCTTCTTTGTTGCTGTTTTTAGTCTGTTTTCACTTTGAGTAATTTTCTCAAATTATGGTTGGGAAATATAAATGCTTTCGCTACTTAATTTGCGCATCCAAAAGAGGTGGTGGGGTTACTGTAATACAACTGTTACATTGAAGACTTCAAGTTGGGTTTGACACATACAATAAGTACCTTAAGTGAGATGCAAAAGTAATTATTATCTTGTGAATTTTTTATTTATCATGATGTGGAATTTGTTTTTGTTTGCCGTGTGATGTTTGAGGTGCACTTTCCATGTCAAATACGTGGTGTCAATGATAATTATACACACAATTGTAACAAGGTGAGATAGAGTTATTCAGTTTAGTGATATTTTTTTTAAAATATAAGCGATATTGGAAGAGGGGAAATCGAACCCAGTGATACAATTATTGATTTTTTAAAGATGCATCTATACTATAGGTTAGTATATAGTATAGGATAATCCATCATTGCATTTGAGAGTTTAATTTCTTGATGTGGTTATCTCCATCACAATATTCTTTTCATTATTTAAACTTATTAAGAGTCGAATTAATGTTTTCAGATAATATAAAAAAAGAATCTAATTAAAGTTTCTATACTGTTTGTTTAGGAAGTCTTGAGTATTAAATTAACCCACCGTTACTTTTCCAAATTATATATTTTTTTTCCACTTTATCATAATAAAGTACAGGATAAATAGAATGCAATGGGCGTTACGGGTCGTTGATAGTTTGTGAATTGTTTTCCTCATGAGCACCAAGTAATCAAATTTGGTAAAGTTCCATAAAAAAATAACGACTGCACCAGTAACTCCAGACAACTCTTGACTCATCATCTTGGTTAATATTCAACGGAAAATATTTGATTCCTTACCCTTACTCGAGAGAAGTCATTCCTCCACCAACGGGGTCTGATTCAATGGAAAATGGCCTTGACTTGCAGACTAGTGGTCTCAAATTCAAACTCTCATGACACCTTGATAGTGTGTGTGAGAAAACCCTCCCTCTCCTAATATCGGTTGTATTATTAAAAAAAAGAGCTGATTTCCTACTCCTCTGTTGTCCACTTACACGCCCTTTTTTGTTATAGTAAAAAGTATTGAAAAACAAATGAAAGTGTAAGTGGACAAAATGGAAGTGGGAAAATCATATCACTTAAAAAAAAAGGCATTCCTCCTTACTTTACTAAAAAATCGTAGTTTGATGTGTGCAGATTTTATGTATCACTGAGTTCTTGAGGAATATATAACATGTGAATGCATAGTTTGGTCAAAAAGGAGGTCAGATACAAATCATAACAATGTGAATTGAAAAATTAAATACCATATATAACAAAAAAGAAGATTGATTGAAAGAGACATATCCTCATTTCCTAGAATGATTAGAGAACAGAAAAAACATGCCAAAAGAATATCAATACCAAGATCCTATACCTTACAATTGTGCTTGTGAGGGAGTTGATATGGTAAAAAAAAAAGGGTGCATGCAAATCAAATACATCCTTGTAAAGGAAATTATAATATAACATTAAACCTTTTTCTAGCTACCCTATTTTTTAATTAGCAGAACACACATGTATTCAATTTAGTCATGTGGGTAGTTGTTGATTGATCAACATGATCAATGCTTTTGTTGCTTAGTTGAGCACTTGTATATAAAGTTATGGTTATGGCTATGAAGCTATAGCCTCCAAATCTCTCTATAGTTAATTTGTACCGTCAAAGCCGCCCTGCAATTTATTACTCTTCCGGACCACATTGAGATCTTCTGTGTTCTTTGCAGCTGCTTGGTCATGGTGATGAGCTTTTACCATCCTCTCACAAGATGGACACATTGAAAGGATTGTAGCCTTTGGGATTTGAATGTACAATGGCGATGCCCCATTCTTGTTGAACGATCTTAGCTCCTGCAATTCTTTCTTCAACCTACGATTCTCATCGCCAAGACTTTCGCAGCGTTTCTTCCAGAACTCGCAGTCTACTTCTGTTTGCTTCAACTTTGTCCTGAAATATATGGATATTCGTTCGTTTAATTTGTTGGGTCTATAGACAATATATATAACATGTGAGACTGTTTGACAAGAGAGCGTTTTGCTCAGACGAGTCACCTTGCTCTTCTGTTCTGAAACCAAACTTCGACTTGTCTTTGCTTCAGATTCAATTGCTCAGCAAGTGACTGTTTCCGGGCCTACATAATTTAGTCCCAATATTAATTAAAAACTAAAATGTTAAACAAATAAATAAGGAACTAATATATATATATATATATATATATATATGTAGTAGTTCTTGACAATCTCTAGTTAATTAGAGGTTAAGCTAAATCAAGAGAAAGCCTAAATCTCAGCTGAAATGAAAGATGTGTACCGGATTAAGGGTGCTATGGCGGGTGAAGCTTTCTTCCAGCAAGGTGGATTGCTCTTTTGTGAGCCTCAGTTTCTTTCTCACACCATTTTTGTTGTTCATGATAATACTCTTGTTATTTGTACCAATACTTCTCTCACTTTCTTCATCTTCATCCATTGCCCTCAAACTCGATCGATTTTCCATGCGATCACCCAAGCTAGCAACCTGCTGTTTTGGGCAAAGCGCAAATGAGAGGTCTAAGCAAACCAAAGGATTTTCCTTCTTCCTCATCTCTTGCCTTGAAGCATATTCACCCACACCAAGTCCAAGAGCTAGCTTTGTGTTGCATGCTTCCTCATCACCACCCATGTTTCAGAATTTTGAGAGAGAGAGAGAGAGAGAGAGAGAGAGAGAGAGGAATATAATTGTGAAATGGGAAAGAGGGGATTTGAAAGAGATTTTATTGTGGGAGTTGAATTTCAATCAGTTATTAGTCATAATATTTTTGATTGAGGAATTACACCAAATGACCCGTTTTAATGTCCAATGAAAAGTAGAGTATATTAATATTATTATGATAGAATAAAGGAATGCGTTAAAATTTTGACTCCTTTTAGGAAACCAGAAACCTCCTTCAAATTTCAATGCCACATGTTGTTTTGACTTCAGGACTTCCATGGGGTAATGATCACCGGGACTTTTCTTTCTCTTCCACAAAGTTGACTTCTCATAACAACAATTTGTAGTCTTTTCTTGGTCCAACTTCTTGTTCTAAATACTAATGTCCACTCACAAATTAAAAAAAATTAAAAAAATAACGCATATCCAATAATTTGCAGAATTTCGGTTCCCCCACTAAAAAGTGCAAGTGCCATTCCTCCAACTTGGGTCAATCTTTTAGAAACCCCCTTCAACCTTACCCACCATTATTATATTCTATTTTTTTAATCAATAAACATCACAAAGAAGATCCTTGATCTTATAAATCACAATGTAACATACACGTATAGCTGAAGAATCATGACCGCGTTTAGCCATAATATCTATCACTTAAATATTTAATAGACACGTTGTATCGTAATTAAAAATCTTCTAATTTTGTGAACTAAGTTGTGTTTTTCTACCGTTTAGATGACCAGAAGCTTCATATATAGGTTGGCATATTGTAAGAATGACCAAAAAGTTTTGGCATATTGTAAGAATGATCTTTGAACTGTAACTTATAGGATTTGACGATAAATCTAAATCAAGATCGTTAAACTACATTGCATGTGGCTGGGTGGGAGGAGGACATCGCACATTTCTTGAAGTGCGAATATCGTCATGATGACCTACGTATCACCTTGACTAAAAGTTAGTCAAACAGAAAACCGTCTAGTATAGTTATCAAATAATAAATAAACTGATCAATTTGCTTGATTAAGCTAAAATAATGATGACGATGATGATGATGATGAAAATAAAATATTTACTAATCGATTTTCAATTAGTTGTTTTTTAGCGGATATGGTTCTGATTAAAGAGGGATGGGAACAAAATAGACAATAATCTGGACAAAAGAAAAGGATAAATAAATAAATATATATATATATATATACAAAAATTCTCTTATGTAGATGTCCGCACGTTATTATTGTGTGGCCGCCGTGTATTTTTTATTATCCCTCCCTGCTTTCAAACCTATGTATATATAGAAGGGGACTATGTATATATATTTTTATTATCCCTCCCTGTATTTTTTTTTAAAATTATTTGAGGGATCTCTTTATAGAAGGGGACTATGTATATATAGTGTGTAATTTATATATACATAAATCTTTGACATAATTGGTCATTCTATTTCTATCAGAAAAGTGCGGCATTAATGTCATAAATAACTGGAACGGCTCTACGCAGCAGCATGTTTTCATATTAGGGATGCGCCCGTCAGCCTAACTTTTAAGTTAATAGGGAGGGAGGCTATGTACTAAAGTAAGGGTTGCTCATTAAGTGATTGTGATAAGTATACTTGATCCTGCTGAGTCATTCAACATTGTGGTCATCAAAAGAAGGTGCTTAGTGAGCTAATCATGGGTTAATTGGGCTGCTTACTCATTCGTTGAGGTGCGATTTCGTTAATCCGTTGGTTACTTAACTAACACATTGTTGTTAGGGTTCTTTAGTTAGGAAACTTAGTCAGGAAGTGATGCTCTTCTTAGAATAAAGTTCATTTTCTCTGTATAAAACAAGGGGTTCTAACATTGGTATCAAATGAGTGCCCTAGCTTGCCTTCTTGTGTATGATTTGTCAATACGTCATGGAAGCTACTTTTTCGATTACAAGCTTTCTTTGGATCTGAAGCATGATCAGCTATGCACGGCGGTTGTCCATCACGATGACTTCTTGTTGCCTAATAATAATGACATTGATGAAATTCCAAATCTGTGTAAACTCAACTTTTCAAAATTGTCAACCTACTTGTGATTTTATTTTTCTTTCATAAAAAGGCTCCAAAACTTATAAATACAAATCAGAATTATATATTATCATGACCACACATGATAGAGCTTGTCAACCTACTATCGCAATTGAAAATGTATCGTAGCGTTAAAAATGTATTGTACACGTATACGAACACGAGGGTTATAAGAAAATTGCAGTGCTTCATAGTTCAAAAATATTGCAACTGAATCAATATCATCATCACAATATGTGTAAGCAATTAGGATTTTTGTCGTTGACAATCCATATATATGCGTTTCTAGCTAACTATTGATTGTGTGGTATTACTCTCTACTATGTCCGATTAAGTTTTCAATATGTATTTCTAATTAGCTATCGGTAGAGTGGTTCTATACTTTGGATGTTGAAATTAATATCTATAAATCGTATAGCCGCGCGGCTATACTCGTTTTTAATTAAAAATAGTACGGCCGAGCGGCCATGCTCGGTTTTTTTTTATTTTAAAAAAAGCACAGCCGCTTGGCGTTACTTGTTTGGCACGTGGCGCCTAGGAGCTGGGGCGGGTCCTTTTTTTAAATAAATATATAGTATAGCCGGGCGGCTGTTCTTTAAAATTAGTAGAGCCATGCGGCTATAATGATTTTGACACGTGGCACCTATTCGCTATCTCTTTTGTTTTCATAAAAAGTATAGCCGCGCGGCTATACTAGTTTTGCCTCATCTTAAAAAAGGATAGCCGTGCGGCTATACGATTGTTTAAAAAAAAAAAGAAATTTAAAACGGGCAAATTTCGCCGCCATATACCTGTGGCGACGAACCTTCATCGGGAAATTTTTTTTTTTTTTAATTTAAAATTTTGAATATATAATATTTATTTTTGTGTTTTTGGCCAACTTCTTAATTTAATATATGTAATTAAGTAAGAGTGGTGATTTCCCCACTCTTTTTTCTCCTATTTTATCCACTTACACTCCTTTTTTATAACTAAAAAAGGAGTGTAAGTGCATAAAATAGGAGTGGGGAAATCATTGCCCTTAAGTAATATCTTAGCCTTTTTGAATTACTTTAATTAGTAATTATGTTTTAATTATTATTTCTTTGGTGAATATTTAAATATGTTAAAGATAATTAAATTTCTCCAGAGCCCAAGAGCCACGCGGCTTTTCTCATCATATATATAGTGGGATCCATTTTTTCCCTGATTTTCGTTTATCGATAAAAGTTGTTTAGAGCATTGTCCATTACTATTAGGAATGTGCTTTTAAAACAAATCACTATCATATTATGGAATTTGATGAGGGAGAAAGGTCGTATCTGCATTTTTAATTTGTAGAAAAATTCTACTGCAGCTAGGGTTTGTATATATATATATATATATATATATATATATATATATATATATATGCTTTACGAACACTTCTTTAAACCATGATCTCCTCCTAAACGAGATCACTCATTTTCCCAAACAATCTTCTGTAATTTGATTTAGTTTGCTAGTTTGACTTTGGGTATTTATATTGCATTAAATTATTTCCTTATTAGCTGCTGTAAACTGTGTATCTATGTAAAGGCTTATTACTAAAGTTTATGCTGAAAATGTATTTCATTCTTAATTATTACATTTTATATTTAAAAAATTATTCACGATTGACTACTTTGCACAGCTTGAAGATCATGTTAGATAATCAGGCCAGCTTCTTATTATTATAACTTGAGCTGTGTTATAAAAATAAAATAATACGTACCACTGAATATATAAAATTATGAGTAGAATTGTATTTGCTGTTGTGATGTTTACATTGACAGAATTTCCTCTCAGATAGAACTCATTCTCTCTTCTTTCCTCTCACTCTTCCTTTCTTCTCTTCCTTTCTTTCCTATATTCTCTATTGGTGTGTTCTACAATTGAATGAGCAAGCCTATTTATAGGCAAATTGGATGGCTTCATTATCCAACATCATCATCAAACTTTTGACTATTATTTCCTTCTTTTCTTTATGTGGGCTTCACCACTTTCTTTATAACAAGCGGGACTTTTAGCTTTTTTCAAACGCAACTTGTAGATGAAACGAGTCAAATGAACTTAAAGTTCGATAAATAAGTTTGAACGCAATGACATTTGACTTTTTTTCTTTTTTCTTTTTCTTCTTTCTACCAAAGTTAAGAAGTAGAAGGGGATTTTCTCAAACACACTGCGAAAGTGACATGAAATTCAAACCTAAGATCACTGGTTTTCAAGACATTTCCAATTTCGACTTGATTCCATTCATTTATAGCCATTGGGGTAAATTGTTGTTAGCCCAATGCTAAAGCCACAGGCCTATGATGGATAGATATGAGGGATATTCTATAAATTTGGGCTCTCAAATGATAAAACTAAAAAGTCCATTTGATTGCTGGTGAACCACAGCGGTTAATCTGAGGTCGCGCCGAGAAGGATTTGCATCAGAGAGCAGTCTCAATACTGTTAGACAAATTTGATCAGCTATTCTTGTTTAAAAGGTGTAAAATTGATGGTGAACGGAATCTACTCAAGTGAAAATAGACTTTGACTTACAAATCAGTGGCATCAAATTTGAACTCCCATGACACTTTATTAATGTGTGCGTTAGAAACCCCCTCTTTATTGTAGCATAAACTATTACTTGTATTTTTATATATAACAAGTGTAAAATTGATAAGTAAATGTTGTAAAAATAGCATTGTTCGTTTTTATCAAACTAATGACTCAGGTAGACTCCCTCCTTGGACTTTATGTGAGAGTTTTTCC